AGGAGACTCTATGGTGAGCAAGGGTCAATTAGTGGGTATTGACTGGAACCGCGTCACGCGGCTACACAGCCAAACATCAGCTAGCGCATAGAAGCTCACTGGAAGCTCACGTACACCCCAATTCTTCACATTTTTTGAACAACTAGTGTTAGAACTTCACTGTAAATGTCAAGTCCAGCTTCCCTTGATGACCTGATTACATTAACCGTAGAAAATACAAAATCAGTGATTTCCATGCTGTGAACCACTTCAACAGGTGCAACTACAACACCATCATCCTACAATTTCGTGCTGAATCCCTGCATTTATTTCCGCGGATCTCTCCAACGCATATTTAAAAAATGTCTCTATCCCGTCAGCCATTTTAGAAATGCTTGTTCAGATTGGTGACGCTTATATAATTCCTTTCCAGCAACCCAACGGCAATATCAAGAGAGGCCAAGGAATCGAAGCAAATCGAAATCGTTCAGAAATCCCTCAAAACAAAATGGCCGCCGATGATGAACAGCTGAGCTAGTGACGTAGTTTAAATCAAACACAAATTCGTAGGTTTACATAAAAGTTTGAAAGTTTAAAAGACATTTCAAAAGTTTAGATTTAAATGGAAAACGAGATAAAATAAATATTTTTCAAATTTAAATAAAATCTGGATATGAAGTTTAAATTTAAAAGTAAAATAGTCTAAATCAAATATAAATCACAAAAGGATTAAATATTGCTACATGTGGGCAGGCATACTATTTTCACTCAGCGGGCGGTAACAATGTTGCCATTCCCGCGTCACACAATATGTTTTTGGTTGGTATTAATCTAACGTACTAAGATTTTGGTCACCTCTTATTTTGTAATATTTTCTTAATCCGCCTATTTCTTAATTCTTTATTTAGGTCATATACTAACTTGTAATGTTTAAATGTATTTTTGTGACAAGAAAGAAGTCACGTTGTCACCGCAGGGGTGTAAATGGTCGATTTCGCAAAATAGTTAGTCTTCCTAAATTACTACTTTGCGAAATGGATAAAAATCCTTGTTATCAATTCACGATTACACTAAATCCTTGTGACTCTTTACCTTATTAGAAAAGATCACTCGCACAGATACCAGCA